TTGTATGAATGGCATGGTTCTCCTTTGTTTTTTGTTTTTTTTTGTTTTTTTGTGTTTTTGCATTCACTCAAATACACCATACTAATTCTCTCTCTCTCTCTCTCTATCTCTCTCTCTCTCTCTCTCTCTCTCTCTCTCTCTCTCTCTCTCTCTCTTTAAAGACAGGGCTGGCAATCGTGTGGAGACATTGGTCTTTTTTGGGCCATGTCGAGAAAGATGATGAAAGGCGGCGCATCGAGTTATGCTCATCCCATTCCCTTGGCTTGCTTAAGACGTACGGAGAAAGCCACAGCGTTCAAGTAGAGACAGACCTCTATCATGCTGTCCTGCCCGCCTTCCGTCCGGCCGTGTGGCCGACGATCGAGCTGTAATGCAATTAGGCAATGGTATAGGGCTCTCTCCTCCGAGCAAAAGCTGTACGAGTAAAGGGAAAAAGGAGGAGGAGGAGGAGGAGGAGGAGGAGGACAAGAAGAAGGAGCAGGAGGAGGAGGAGGACAAGAAGGAGCAGGAGGAGGAGGAGAACGACGGGTAGGAAGAAAGGCCGAGGGGGAGGAGGAGGAGTGAAGGAAGGGGCTGAGGGCAAGGACAAGAAGGAGGAGGAGGAGGAGAGGGTAGCGAGGGAAAGTCAAGAAGAAGAAAGGGGGGGGGGAGGAGGAGGAGGGTAGCGAGGGAAAGTAGTAGAAGGAGGAGGAGGAGGAGGAGGAGGAAGAGGAAGAGGGAGAGGAAGAGGGTGGTGAGGGAAAGTTGATTGGGTCGGGACGAGAGTGGATAACATCATGGCGTCATCTTATTTATGCCACGTGGCGCCTCGACATCTACTTATTGGCGAAAGATTGGCTTCGGTTTGCGATAGTTCTCGACGTGCTGACTGTGGTGATGGTGGGGAAAACCGGCTCGGCGCGCTTTGTGTATCATGCTTGAGAGAAAATGGCTTGGCATCGACGAGGAGGAGTAGGAGGAGGATGGCGACGGATGCTTCGTCATCGCGATGGAGGCGAACGGGATCGGGGCGCTTTGAAAACCGGTCATGGCAGAGCGAGGAGAAGGGGAAAAGGCGGGAACTGCAGATGGCGCGCAATGACGACGATGCTGTTTCCCGCCACTTAGAAACGACAAAGAAGGCTTTGGCGGGAGAAGGGGATGGTCTTTTGGCGGGAAACGCCTCACCGCCGCGCAAATCGGGTATATATGGGGTGCCGCGGATGCCGTACAGACTTTGGCGCCAGCAAACACGTGGGGAGTTCTGGCAGCGCAGGATCTTGTCTTACGTGGCATATCGTATGGATAAACATATGGATAAACACAGGATGATGACGGGTGTTTCCCGCGCTTCTAGCGCTGACATGGGCAATACGATGGGTTACGTGCAGGCAGAGGTCAGCGGCAGCAATGAAGGGGGGCTGTCGGCGGCGGCGGACGATACTTCTACGAGTAATCCCGGTGCCGCTTCTTCCTACTCCTCCTCCTCCTCCTCCTCCTCCTCCTCCTCCTTCTCCTCCTCCTTAGCCGGGACCCCGACTACTGCGCTGGGTATCGATGACACCAGCGACGTGCGTCCCGGCGCAGCACTTGCGAATGAGACACACAGGGATCCCGGCGGAAAGAAGATCGCCTCCCCCCCGCCCAGTAAAGCCATCTCCTCAAGCGCGATCTTCGGCGCCGCCAGCGCAGCGGTGATCGGCGCGGTGGCCGTTGCGCTGTTTCTGCGTGCCAATTCCGCAGCCTTTGCCGCCAACTCCTGGATCGCGCTCTTATCCCGATCCGGATTTGCAGCCGCGTTCTCGCTGATCTTCGTCTCCGAGATCGGCGACAAAACGTTTTTCATCGCCGCCCTGCTGGCCATGCGGCATTCCCGCTGGCCGGTCTTGATTGGCGCGTCCGGCGCGCTGGGTTTGATGACCATCATATCCGTGGCCATTGGCAGATTGTTCCATAAAGTCCCATCGAGCTTTCACACGACGGTCCCGATCGGGGAGTATCTTGCGGTCGCGTTGCTGATCTGGTTCGGCCTGAAGTCGATCAAGGATGCGTGGGATATGCCATCACCGGTGCCTGCCGCGGGCCAAGTTCCGGATATGGTGGACTCGGGGGAGGCGGGGGAGGGGAGGACTGTAGGAGGAGGAGGAGGAGGAGGAGGAGAACTAGAAGAAGCGGAGGAGTTCTTGAATACGCGCAAGGAGAGTGTGCAAAGGTTCGACGGGCCTTTTGGCGTGCTATTAGAAGCCTTCTGCTTGGTATTTGTGGCGGAATGGGGGGACAGGTCCATGCTGGCAACCATAGCCTTGGGTGCCGCTCAGTCGCCGGTCGGGGTCGCGGTCGGGGCGACGCTTGGACACATTGTCGCGACGGGTATTGCGGTGGTCGGAGGTGGGATCTTGGCCAATTACATCTCCGAGAAGTTGGTCAGCTACATTGGCGGTGTATTGTTCCTTGTATTTGCGGCAGCAACCGTCGTCGGGGTATTCTAAGGGGAGAGAGGGATTTTGAAAAACAAATCCGCGCTGCCTGTATGTAGTACGAGTTTGTAGTGGTGATTTTCGTTGTTTTGAAACGACTTCCCCTGGGGCAGCCGGCCGCATGTTCTAAGGTGAACGGCAAGCATGGAAGAGGGTGGAGGAGTTGTAGGTGGTCCAAATAGGTAGAGGGCCCTGTATTCAGAATGAGAGGAGCGTAGGAGTGGATATGTATATGCCTGTATTTCAGCAATTCTCGTGCCGAGGGGTGTGTGTGTGTGTGTGTGTGTGTGTGTGTGAGAGAGAGAGAGAGAGAGAGAGAGAGAGAGAGTG